CCTCCTCCTCCTCCTCCTCCTCCTCCTCGCTCTCACTCCTCCGCCTCATTCACTGGCTAGAGCCGAGGCGTCCCACACAATGGAATAATCAATACCCAGGCGCCCAGGGCGGCCCCACTGAGCAGGTGCAGCGACCCGCCCGTCGCAGTGCATGCCGGGAGTTGTAGTCTACCCGCTTCCGCCCTTCGGCCCTCAAACGCTGTGCCTGCCGGCCTCCCTCAACGCTGGAACACCGGCAGGCCAGGCGGCAACCAAGGATTGCGATTCTAGCCACCCCGCCGCCTCTTTTTTTTTTTTTTTTTTTTTCCGCCGCCTTTTTGACTCTGGTGCAGGCCCATCTGGTGCCTGCAAAAGAGGCCAGGTCCCTTCAAACTCTCCTGTTCCTCTTCCTCCTGTCTACAGAAACCATACGTGTGTTTTAAATCAGCTGTACGAGCTCCGGCTTATACCAGTTTCCCAGAGATGTCTGAGGCCTGTCTCTTTTTCTCTCCCTTCTTCCCTTATTTATTCCACCTCCTTTCCAGCTGTGTACTAGAACCTTCTCTTGCACAGCAATCTCAGAGAGCTTCTGTCTTCTCCAAGTGGTCACATAGTCCCCTAGTTCCATAGGGGAAGGGGAGGTTCTGGCTCCTGCTCTTCTGTTTATCAGCTCAGAAACACTACATATTTCAATAATTTCTAAGATTTTTTGAGTGTTCAGGGATAGTTCCAAGCACTTTTACATATATTATGTGATCTTCAAAACCCCATGAAGGGCCGGGGATTTAGCTCAGTAGTTCAGGCGCCTGCTTCGAAAGTGAAAGGTCCCAAGTTTGATCCCTGGTACCAAAAACAACAACAACAACAAAAAAACCATGAGGCAGATAACATTGGTCCCATTTTTCAACTGAGGAAACTAAGGCACAAACAACCAGCCCGAAGTCGCCTGGCCAGTAAGTGACAGTGCCAGGATTCAAACCTCAGTAGTCTTGCCAGGGATTTAGCTCAGTGGTTCCGACGCCTGCCCTGCAAGCGCAAGGACCCAAGTTCGATCCCTGGTACAAACAAACAAACAAAACCCTCAGTAGTCTGGCTCCAGAGTCCATAGTACTTCCTAAGGCCTACTTCTCTAATGGCCTCCCCACCAAGTTCACAGAGGCAGCCAGGAGAGAGGAGAAAGAAGCTAACATTTTGAGTTTCTATTATGTGACAATTTGTTACTGGATCCTCATAACTGTGAGGCGGTCCTCATTTTACCAAGGACAAAGCAGTCTTAGGGAGGTGGCACAGTCTAACCAAGGCTAAGCATCTGAGAAGTGAAACTTCCCAGGTATGGGTGTCTCCAGAGTCTAGTCTTTCCATTGCATTAAGCTGTTGTTTCTGCCCCTATTGGATTGGACCTTATATAAAGGGAAACTATTAAGCATTCTTCTTGGTCAACAAAACTGAAAAGCAAAGGATGGATAAAATGCAGGCCATGAGAAGAGTTAGGGACTGCCAGGTGGTGCTTGGCATGAGGTGGGGGACAGATACATCCAAGACATCTGAAGTTCAAGATGTCATGTCTGTAAAATAACCTCCCCACAGTATTTTCTACTGATCAAGTGCTTCCAGAAACACACCAAGGAGAGGGTAGGCGTAGAGAACCTGGCACTTCTCACTCATCATAGAAGCAAGCTTAGGAGTTGACGTTATTGTCACCTAGAAGATCAAAGTAAAAGATAATCACAGTTCTCAGAGGCAACAAGAAGCTTTCTGTTTGGCCTCTGAAAGAGCAGTCAGAGGGTCACCCCTGACAAAATCTTCTCAGGGAGTTCTGGACACTGACAAACTTCTCAGTCTGGCACTCCTTCAAGACTTTTTCCATTCTGCCCCTCAACTGCATTTCTAAACTCATCTCTACTTACATACTGGCCAGGTGTTCTACAGTTGCTGGGCCTTTGCTCACACTATTCCTTTCTGGAACTGCTGAAATCCTACCACATATTTGGTTCCCATTCAAAATATCATTTCCTCCTCTGATGTAAAGTTTTTTACTCCAAAATATTCATACTAGGATTATCAGATCTGCTCTAAAACTCCAGAGTAGCTAAAGTGGACTAAATCCCCACTTTCACCCCCACCTCGAACTTAGTGGGCCATCATAATAAGTATCTACTGGGCAGGGTCTTAAAATGACTGACTTGTTTTTTGTTTGTTTGTTTGTTTTTGGTACCGGGGATCGAACTTGGGTCCTTGCGCTTGAGAAGCAGGCGGCGGAATCCCTGAGCTAAATCCCCGGCCCCAAGTGACTTGTTTTTTAAGCCCACTTCTTATGCTAGCAGAGGTCGGAGACTGAGGCCTCGGCTCCTTGTACCCAGCTCGCCCTACTGCGCTGCAATCCCCGTTCAGCTATTTAGGTAGAGTCCTGCTGGCACTAATTGGCAGCTTTCCGGTCACCATAGCGACGGGTGGGGCGAGCTAGCGAGCCTCCTTTGGAACTACATCTCCCATCATGCACCGGGCCCCAGGGTGCCGGGCTCAGCCTGAACCCCGGGACCCAGCTGACCCGGAGCTCCAGGAGGGATAGGGCATGAGAAGTAGAGCGCGAGGGTACGGTCTCACTTTCCTGCCCACCTCGTAGGTCGCGGATGCCCATGACCTAACAGACTTCTCTGGGCCCAGCCAGCCCTCGGCACTGCTACCCCGGGCCTAATATGGCCGCTGGTGCTGGGACCGGCCGCAAGCATAGAGCCGGGCTGAGGTCCGGAGCCAGGGCCTGCTCCCGGCATTCCTCGCGAGTGTGTCGTGGGCACCCTTCCCCCATCTCCGGGTCCCGCGAGAGGGAGACCCTTGGGCTTTGAGGTGAGACCAAAGGTTGGTGTTGTGGGAAAGGCGGGTCACCCCCGGCAGTAAGCTACTGGCCTTCTAGGGTAGCAAGGTGTAGCGAGGGGACTTTGGGTTGAGGATATCACGAATAGTGTAGAGGATTTAACTGGAGAACAGTTACGAATTTTTTTGTTTGTTTTTTTTGGGAGATCGGGCATCGAACTCAGGACCTTATGTTTGCAAGGCAGGCGCGGTGCCATTGAGCTAAATCCCCGGCCCTGGAGAACAGTTACTGTTGCAGAACCTAATAGTGTCCGAGGCTCTTTGGGTTATTTCTGTAACGAATTGCTTTAGCAATTTTCTAGAGGATCCAGTTTGCTTAAAGTTTTATCACTGACGGCCTGGTTCACTGAGGTAGAGCACTCTGCAACACAAGTTCATCCAGGCTTCACGAGTTCACCCAGGGCTGGGTCTCTGCTGAGCTGTGCCCCGCAGGCTGTGCACCCTTGGGCACTCAGCGAATGTTTGTTGCAAATGTTTGTTGCAGGGAGCATGGCCCAGGGCTTGATAGAGGTGGAGCGAAAGTTTGTTCCAGGGCCTGGCACAGAAGAACGGCTGCAGGAGTTGGGAGGCACTCTGGAGCACCAGATCACCTTCCGAGACACCTACTATGATACCCCTGAGCTGAATCTCATGCGGTCTGACCACTGGCTGCGACAACGAGAGGGTAGTGGATGGGAGTTAAAATGTCCTGGAGCAGTAGGTGTCTCAGGAACCCATACTAAGTACTTGGAACTCACATCTGATCCTGCGATTGTGGCACGCCTCTGTGAGGTGCTGGGAGCTGAGGGACTGGGGGCTGGAGGTGTAGCTGCTGTGCTGGGTTCCCTGGGGCTGCAGGAAGTAGCTAGCTTTGTGACAAAGCGGAGTGCCTGGAAGCTGGTGTTCTGTGGAGCAGATGAAGAGGAGCCACTGCTTAGGGTGGACCTGGATACAGCTGACTTTGGCTATGCCGTGGGTGAAGTAGAGGCCATAGTACGTGAGGAAGCTGAAGTACCTTCTGCTCTAGAGAAGATCCAGAGCCTCAGCAGCATGCTTGGTAAGGGAGACAGGCCTTCTGTGCTTTCCCTGCTCCCCATCTGCCATTTCTGGAAGTGTCTGCTGGGGCAAAGAGTGACTGAGCATCTCTGGGTTATTTCTGTAACAAGAATTTTTTTTTTTTTGTAACAAGAATTATTTTAGCAATTTTTTCGGAGGACCCCATTTGCTTATACATTTGTTTTTTTGTTTTGTTTTTTGAGACCAGGTCTCCCTGTGTAGTTCAAGCTGGCCTTGAACTGGTGATCCTCCTGCCTCAGCCTCCCCAGTGCTGGGATGATAGGTGTGTACCATCACGTCCAGATTGCTTATGTAGTTCTGTCAACCCCAGCTTCCAAAACAGGTGCTAATTTGGATTCACTCCTTCAGTGCATTTCTAATTTTCCCAGTCATTCTGTCTCATACCTCTAGCCAAGTCTCCAATTTCATTTGTCAGTTCTCTGCTTTGACCCTTCCCTTTGTTTGTACTTCTTCCCGGATCCTCATTTATCCTTTTCCCTTTAAGTAAAAGGTGAGAATATTGCATTCATGTGAAACAATAGGATAAGTGTTGGCAAATTTTTTGTTCCCATGTTTAATTCTCTTATTGACAGCTCATCCACACAGCTGACAGCCCTGGGATGCCATGAGTTTCCTTAGCAGTTGCACACTCAGTTTCCTGCTGCATGCTCAGTATGCTCCTGGCCACTGACAATAGACACTGGTCATGGCAGTTCCAGAGGCAGTAATTCGGTGTGAATCCCACCCTACAACTATAGCTTCTTCTTCTTTCCACAGTCCTTGGTTTCTTTCTCTGTGTACATCTTTGTATGTGCTTCATTACCAAGCTAATGAGCTTTGGCCTGCCTAGATGGGCTTTAATCTTGATTGGGGGACAGGGGCATTAATTGAAATGAGTTGATGTTGAGGGATCCTCCGTCTTCATGGTGCCTGAGTGCCTTTTCATTTCTCCTTCCTGGAGGATAGGCTCATGTGTGGCTTCCCAGCTACTCCTGCCTGAAGTGGTTCTTTTAGGTCTCATTTCCGCAGTTCATTGAGAGAGTGCTGAGAAGCTGGTTGAGGGCATTCAGAATATTAGTGCTGCCTTGCAAACAACCTTGGGGTCCTGGCTGGGTGGGCAGGGAGCAAAATTAAAGCATGTATGGTAGCTTTGCAGGCTTCTTTGCTCATTGTCCTTTTGCCTATAGGTGTACCAGCACAGGAGAGGGCACCTGCCAAGCTCATCGTGTACCTACAGCGCTTCCGGCCTCAGGACTATCAGCGCCTGCTACAAGCAGATAGCTCCAGAGAGAGGCCACAGGGGACTAAACATCTTGACAGCAACTTGGGTTAGGGGATGTCCCTTCCCAGAAGGGCAAGAGAACTCTGGGTTTGATGGGGTCCACACCTAGGCTCATGGTGCCTCCTTCCTTCTAATAGTGCCTCCTCTCTCTCCAGCTCTGCCTATTTCACCCTGTTCTCAGCTACCCTTCCTAGAGCCCTCCCTGGTTGCCTCCTCTCCTTCATCCGTCAGATGCAATCTATGGGCCGCCCCTCTCCCCTGGCCGCTAAGCAGCCTCCATTGATTTCCGCTCGTGTTTATAGGATTTCCACTTAGCCATGATCAGTAGTTAAGCACAGGAAAATCCCTTGCCACCCCCCCCTCCCTTGGTCGATGCCATTGATTCTGCCAGCGGCTCTGAAACCGCCTAACAGCTGAGTTAGAGATGAGGGAAGGCAGCAGGGATTTCCCAGCCTTGGGGTGTGGGGAATAGCAGCGGGGTAGGGAAAGGGTTGGGAATTCCTGTTAGAAATCCAGAAATTCTGCTTTGATTTTTGTCACTGTGCCCAGCTCAGGCCCAGAGAGTAGAGTGCCTCTCGTGGCAGTTAAGGGACAAATGTGCTCCCAGACCTAAAAAGAGGTAGAAAGAAAATCCTCATTGTTGAGATAGGTTTCCCAAGGTTTCCAGGAAAGAGTCATACTTCCTGTGTGAGGAGGTTCTTCTCTTGTCATTCATACATATTTTCTACCTCAGACACCCAAATACGGTTTTCTGCCTCTCAGGCTTTATTGGGCTTTCAGTATTTGTGGGGGAGGGGGCAGACCCTCACAGTTTTGCAGTGACAAATGCAGAGCCAGAGTGCCACCTGGTGGTGGCCCTCAGGGGTAGGACCCCAGCTGTTGGGGCCAGGGGCTTTGGGACACAGGAGGATTTGGATAGTGAGTGGAGATAGTTACTGCCATGTCTTCACAGGCAAGTTGTTCACCTCAAAGATCTCCTGCACTGACTGGCCAAAGTGGTTGTAGGTGAGGCGCAGCTTTAGCCGCAGAGGGGCCTAGGAATAGGAGCAGACACCAGGGTTAGTGCCCATGGCATCTCCCATGCCTGGGTCTTATCCACAGGGCCTGGAACTCACCTTGTTAGGATTGAGGATTCTGAAGAGCTGAGTGATGGGCGGGCCATCCTGAGCTGGAACTGTGTTTCCACTGGGGGCCTCGAGCTGCAGCTGGACACTCTGAACATGGGAGGTTTGGGCAGAACACAGTAAGGCAGCTGACTGGGCTCAGACAACCCCTTCACACTGAGTAGCTCCAAACCCTCTTCCCATACTTCCTAGGTACCTGTCTTGTATGCTGTTCCCTTCCATCTCATTCTGTCCCCTACCTACCTCCTCTGCTTTATGGCCTTTCTCCTGGATGCTTAGGCCGTCTCTGTACCCTGATCTGTACAAACCTTGGGCACAGCTGCCTGGCAGATGAAGTGAGTGACCTCATCCTCTGAGGAGTTGGTGGTGGTGACAGTGATTAAGAGCAAAGCAGGGGTTCCAGGGGGTCGAGTAAAAGACAGATTCAGCTGTACTCCCTCACGTTCAAACACTTTGAGGTTTGGGATGGGAGCTGGAGTAGGGAGAGAGAGGCACTCAGTGTGTAAGCTTGGCATAACATGTTCGTTCACTATTCAGTAGCAGAGTGAGCACCTCTTCACCCTGCACCACTTGAGACACTTGTGACCAAGGAGAAAGCAGCTAAGTTGAGGTGGGAGGATCACAAGTTCAAGGCCAGGTTGGGCAATTTAAGACTCTGTCTCAAATTTTCAAAATAAAATTTTTTAAAAAAAGACCTAGGGTTGTAGCTCAATGTCAGAGGACTTTCCTAGCATTTATGAGGCCCTAGGTTCAATCCTCAGCAATGAAATAGCAATTACAAAAAAAAAAGTTCAAGCCAACAGCCTAGTTGGAGTGGGGAGAAGAAAAAACAAGATTGGGTGTAATGGGTACTATGAGTGAGCTAAATTAAGTCAGAATAACTAGGAAGAACTGGCTTAAATAGGAACAGTAAGGAAGGGCAACTGACATTTCACGGAGACAAAACAAAACATGAAATGCCACGGGCTTGAGGTGGGAGAGTTTGAGGAACTGAGAGGGGCCAGTGGAGTGGGCACTGGGGAAGTGGTATGAAATGGGTTGGGGAGGAAGCAGGGCCCTGCATCACAGAGAAGTCTGAACAAAGGAAGACACTAAGGGGTGGCCAGAGAACTGGCATGATTGAAGCCTTTAACCTACAAAGATACAGTGATCTGGATTGGGAGGACACACGGGAAGGGGATACATGAGCTGTAGTCTGTGGCTCCAAAGGAGAGAGCACATTTCCACCCATCTCTAAGACCTCTCCCCTTTGCTGAGGTTTACCTGGGGGTGGAGGTGCACAGGGAAGATCAAGGAGGTGTACTAGTGCACCCTCTGGGGAGGGATTCAGAGAGGGTGGCTGCTGGGTGTCTCCAGAAGTATCATCCAGGAGATTTAGCAGATCCAAGAGCTTTGAGGTCTGGGAGAAAGGTTAGAAGGATCAGGGCTAGGCATGGAAGCCCAACTGAGTCCTTGCTCTAGGGCAGTGTTGGTGAACCTTTTAGAGATGAATGCCCAAACTGCAACCCAAAACCCACTTATTTATTGCACAGTGCCAGCACTGCAATTAAACCCGAATACTCAGGTTTCATTTAGAGAAAACTCATGTTAACATCTTTTGTCTTAAAAGAAAAAAACCCCATGTGTGCTACAGTTTTGCTACCACTGCTGTAGGGCCTCCAGCCTCCTCACCTGGGGCTCTGTGGGGACAGGGGCTGTGTCGTCTCTGCTTTCTTTTGCTTCTTCATCAGTCTGGGGGCCACCATGCTCCACAAGGGGCATCTTTTCAAGGATAGCAGCCCTGAAAGGATGGAATGTACCTGTCCTTTTGTGTGGACCCTGCACCTTTCATGAGATGCATCTGGCAGGAGGGCTAGGAACAAGGAGAGCCCTGGGCACATGGGGGTCAGAAGTGCCCTGTGACTTCCTAAGATGGCACACTGTTGCCAGTTTTTCAGATAAGCAAGGAGGCTTAGGAGTCAGTTTAGCTTCAATAGCTTCAATGACTGTGGGTGGGAGGCTCTCACTGAAAGAGGAAGAATGCAGGGGAAGTTGAGACCCTCGGACCTAATGGGCATTTGGGGCAGGATAGAGGTTTGGGTCCTACATGGCAGCAGACTGCTGGGCGCACCTCATGTGGTCATACTTCTGGAAGAGCACGTTATACTCCACAGCCCGCTGCTGCAGCTCCACGTCCAGACAGCTCCCGTAGATGGACACCACCTGGCGGATGCGGCTGACCCACAGTGTGACGTGTGAGTGGCAGTGGTAGTTTGTCCTGTTTTTTTTTTTGGTACTGGGGATCGAACTTGGGTCCTTGCGCTTGCGCAGCAGGTGGCGAAACCATTGAGCTAAATCCCCGGCCCCTTTGTCCTGTTTTTTTTTTACTACAGGATGTGGCAGGGAAGGGGGAGGCCACATAGAATAAGGAGACACCTAAAATATGTGGCTCCAAGCCTGGGAGGAGTAGAAGTATGTGCACCTGGAGAGCTTAGAAACTGGGGAGCACAGTGTAGGGAACTCTTTCGATGGGCTGGAACCCTTTCTTACTCGGTGTCCCCCTGGATCCGGGTGCTGAGCTTCATGAGGGCCGTGAGGGCATATCCGCGGGTGGCTGGCAGGGACATATGGGACTGCAGCACCTTTTCCAGTAGTGCCATCACCTCCTCCTCTTCTACCTTTAGGTGTGGATGCAGGTGGTGACCCCGGGTCCTGCTTCCGTCATGAGTCCCTCCTCAGTGCACCTACCTTCTAGGTCTTACCTGAAGGGGTTCAGTTTCCTCACAGTTCTCCAGCAGGAAGTCCCCATACTCCCCTATGCACCAGGTGGCCACTTGCACCAGCGGTTGCTGTGTGGGAGAAACACTGATGGGCAAGTGTCTGTGGTCCTCTCCTCTCTTGTAGACTGAAACATTCCTTAGGTAATGCACCGATCAAGGGGTTGGCAGGCTCTGTCCAGTTACTGAGCTCCTGCTGCTCTCTGGTGGCCAAGCATGAGAACTACATGGCCTAACCATGGGTCCTGGCTCTGAGGAAAGCAGGTGGTTTCTGTCCATCCTACTTAAAATGAAAAAAGAGGCTGTACATCCGGATGTGGTGGTGCATGCCTGCAATAATAGCACTCAGGAAGCTGAGACCGGAGATGTGTGAGTTCGGGGCCAGTATAAGGTACTTAGTGAGACAAAACAAAACAAAACAAAACAAAAACCCCAAGAAGCAGGGGCCTATAGATATTGGCTAACACCTGTTAATTCACTCAGTGTTTGAGCTAGTAATAAAATAAGTACATGCACAACCTTTTATCTATCTCATTTGATTTTTGAGGCAGCTCTGAGAGTTGGGCAGGATAGAAAACTGAGCACATGGGGCCTAAAGGAGATTAAATTAATCATGAGGGGTTCACACAGCCAGTTGGTAGCAGAGCCAGGACAGGAGCCCAGGTATTCTAATTAAAAGGCTGGCTCTTTTTTGTGTGTGTGTGTGTGTGTGGTACTAAGGATTGAATCCAGGGCCTTCACACTGAGCTACATCCCCAGAGGTTTTTGTGACAAGGTCTCACTAAGTCACTCAGTAGCCCAGGGTGGGCTTGAGCTTAGGATCCTGCTCCTCAACCTTCCAGAGTGCTGGGATTACAGGCACGCTCTACCATGCCTGGTGGCCAGCTCTGTCCTGGAGGGTTTCCTGCAATAAGTAGACGCTATGACCCCGAGGGAAAAGGAGTTCAGAATCCAGTGTAGGACATAGGCCCAGGAGGGACCAGGGAGTTGTTGGGCAGCCTTTGACCTTGGCAGGTAGGGATGGTACCTGAGAGATGTCCTCTGCCAGGGCATGGTAGAGGCGGTGCACAGAGTAGGCATGTAGCTCCTGGGCACCTCCAATCAGCTGGGTCAGGTTGGCCACTGCATCATCCCGCACATAGGTGCCTGCCTGGAGTGGGGAGGGGAGCCTGTCAGAGTGGTGAGCTCTGCACACTCCTGCCCGGCTCTAACTAGCCCATCTCACCGTTGTCAGCACATGCAGGATGGTGTCTATATGCCACCGCTTGGTTGGAGCAAACCTAGGGGACATAGCTCATCAGTCCCGGCACTATCCCTTCCCAGACTGTGCCCTCTCTGCCTCCTGGCATGTCACCTCACCTCTCTGCAGCCAGCAGGATGCCTGAGGCACAGTCAGCCCGAAGATCCGGGGGGCAGGACTCGAGAAAGGCCTGCAGCTCCTGTGTCATGGATCGCACATTGGAGCTGTTCACCAGAGCCAGGCTCAGCTCCAGGGCCCGCCTGGGAGGAGAAGGGTTTCTGTAGGTATCCCAGGCCACCCTGCCGCACCCCAGGCACCTGTCCCCTCAGTCTTCTCATTCCTGCTGCTCTAAGCTGCTCTGGGTCTTGGCCACCAGACACTGGGTCCTCTGTTCTCTTGTCCCCTCTGTTTCTGCTTACCGGCTGAGGGAGGCATCGCTTTCCCGCAGACATTCTACCACAGTGGGCCGATGTCGCTGCACAGCACTGTGATCAGACTTTACCAGCTTCAGCAATGAGGTCAGAGCCACGTACCTGGACAGGGTAGGAAAGGTTCTACTGTGCCACGGCCAACAGCCCTGACAACCTGTTGTGTCCTGGGTATAAAGGTGGATTGGAAGGTTCTGGAGGGAGGAGTGCAGAAGGCCAGGGTTTAGTGGCACAGCCTAGCAAGACACCAGGGACTCTTACCTAATGTTCTTATCACTGTTGAGCAGGAAGCGACCAAGAATGTTGACAGCTAGAACCTGTGGGAAACAGAGGGCTGGGACAATCACAGAAGACACAACCTAGTCACTTAGGAGTAGGGACCACATGGCATAAGTGACAGGTGTGGGGGAGAAGCCAGTGAACAGGGCCTGTGTATGCCTGGCTGAGGGGGGCAGCAGGCAGGCCCTAGTGGAAGAGGATATGGGACAGTACCCGTAGGCCAGCTGCAGAGTGGATGTCCATGATGGTGAGTACTGTCTCAAACAGCACTGCACTGCCGGCGTTTCGGCTGGTGTCTGTGTTGGTGGCCACCTAAGTGGATGGGAGGAGATGCATGTACACAGGGCTTGTTTTCCATCCTTGGATGTTGGTCCTTCTGACCTGTTTTTCACTTCTTCTGTTCATTCTACAACCATCCAACAGAGTTCCCCAAGCCCTATTATGTAACCGGGCCAGCCTGGACACTGGGGTAATAGCACTGAAACAGCCTGTGTTCCTCCTGCATGGATTTCACTGGGTAGAGAAGATGGAGGGGTGCTGACATGGCTGCTGCATCGTAAGTGTTCATGTGAGGGATACCCTGGGCTGGTGGATCCCAGCTTCCCTCCATAGGGGGATCTAAGCAGTGACCCCCCCTTCAAGCCCCCACCTGGGCCAGCAAGTCATTCATGGTCTCACTGCTTTTTTCATGGTTCCGGCCCAGGATCCGAAGCAGACGAAGTATCTGGACCTAAGGTCAGGTTAATGGGTTAATGGGAGTTGTGAGCCAGAGGAGAAAACCCCAACATTGAAGATAGCATTGTGAGGGGTCTGGCTAGCCTTTTAGAGCCCCCTACCCTTCTCTCTCATCTCCACAGGTCTTTTGTGTGTGTGTGAGATCAGGGGAGTTTAGAATAAGCTTTTCTTTTTATAAAATGGATTTGTGAACTTCAAGCATCCCCTCTCCCCTAACTGGTCCTGGGATGACCAGGGCAATCCTGAGCTTGCCACCCTCCTGCCCAGGACACTGAGCCAAGGTGTCCTCTAGGTGACCACCAGCCATGGTCTCGTTGCTAAGTCTTCTCTATTCCAGGGACACAACAGGAGGAGGTTACCCCACCTGCAGAAAAGGGTCACTGATTCCAGATATGCTGTGCTCTGTGGAGTACCCCGTTGTCACCAGAGTTCGGAGGATCTGCACCAGCTTGGGTACTACCTGGAGGGAGGGCACAGCTTTGTCTGGGCATTCATCATCCTCTCAACTGTATGCCCCTTTCCTCCACTGCTGCCCCTCTTTCACCAGCCCACCTTTCGAAAGTGCCTGAGGGCTGCAGGGCTTCTTTCACAGAGCTCCATGATCAGGGTGATAGTGCCGAGCAGGATGCCTGGGGTTAGGGTGGGGAAGTGAATGGTGGGCCAGGGCACCGGAGACGTGCATGTGGGTGTGTGTATGTAACCCTTTGTCCTAAGAGCTGGTGCTCCTGTCCTGTTTTTTACTTCTGTCTATAGCCAGGCCTGAAGCAGAGGATGGGGAGCCCAGTGGCCTTACCATGGTGGTGCTCATGAAGCAGTTTGGCACAAAGTGGAAGGAAGATGTCAGAGAGCTCAGGGGCTTTCCGAACCATGTGCACTGCAGTCAGAATAGCCTGCAGAAGTCAGGGGCCTCAGACAGGGGACCAGGCTCCACCAGGATGACCCCCGCCCCCGCGCATGGCAGACCTGGGAGTTTCTGGAGGGGCAGGTACTGCATCTCACCTTTTTGCGCACATAGGGGCCTGGCTGCAGGAGCAGCTTTTCCACCTCTGTGGCCAGGTCCCGGCACATCTCAGCAGAGCCCATGGTGCTCAGAGTGCACAGAGCCAGGCCTTGAACTGGCTGAATCCCCTGGCTCAGGTCACTGCAGGGTTGGGAGGATGGTCAGTCAGGCCTCTGAGAAAACCAGTCCTTCTCACCAGTACAGCAGGCAGCCCCTTGGGATTTGTTTCCCATTTCATTTCCCTGATTTCCAGTGCCCCCAGAACCCTCTCACTTCTTGATGCTGTTGGTAATGAGCAGGTGGGCATCGTGCCTCTCATCCAACAGAAGCATAGCTCCCAGGTAGCCCACCCTCTTGTCTATGAATCGGGGGGAGGCGATCAGTTTCAGGCACTCCATCTGTAGAGAAGGGGGCAGACCACAAAGGGCAGGGGTGAAACCAGAGACACTAAAGCCCAGCTCCACCGCCTTCCATCAGACAAGATGACTGTAACTTGTGGGGATCATATACCACCACCCTCTCTTCAGCCAGAGGAGATGCTTAAGAGATCCAGGATGGTGGACAGTTTCAAGGACCCAGGAGTGGAGGAGGATGGGAGGGGAAAGCCCCTGAATGGGGCTGGTCAGAGAATGGAGGGTTTAGGCCAGCTGACACAGGATGGGGGTTGCAGTGGGTAAAGAGGTTTTTCAGTGCATGGTGTGAGGCCTCAAGAACTAGAAAATGAAAATAATCGGGGCACAACTATGTGAGCGGGGCCCACGACCCTGCCATATTGGCCTTCCTCCTCAAATTCCGGAGGAAGGTATCTTTGGCCATTACCTGTCCAAAGTGGGCGGGGTAGCCCAGCATGTGGACGTAGAGCAGTTTGGTCAGCTGGCGGTGCCTCTGCAAGGGGTCCCCATCACGGAAGGACGCCCGGATATGGGCACACTCCTTTTGGATCACCTCCCGTTCCTGGGCCTGAGTCTTGGCCCCGCGAATCTCCTCCATGAAGTCATGAAGCTTCAGCGAAGGCACCATTCTGGGTGGAGGAGGGCAGAGCCCAGGAGTGGAGAGGGCTTTAACATTTTCTGGCCGGGTGGCCAGCCTCGCCCCGTGCCAAGCTCTTAAGGGCCCAGGTGCCACAGATACCCTATAATTGAGCCGACATTTACATTTGCCCACCCGCGTCTCCAAATCCCACCACCAAAGGGCTCCCAATACGCATGCGTCCCCACCCCACGCCTGTTCCTACCGAGCGTGCGCCACAGCCCCGCCTATTACCCCCTCCTTCCCCCACCTGGTATCCCATCAGTAGCTCAGCCTTCTCTTTACTTCCAGGGCCCAGTGCTGCTGCCTTCACGAGTCCTTCCCTCCATTCCCATCTCTGGGTGCTTCAGTTTTCCCGCCCCAGAACGCCAAGTCTCACCTGTCTTCGGTTTGAACTGTGCTTCTCTACCCCCCCGCGCTTCCTGGTAGAGGGCCCAGTAGGGGTTGGAGCTTGATCGGGTTCTTCCCTCTCCCCGCCTCCATCACGGGACCCGCCCTCTTGAGCCTGCCGCCCTCGGGCCGCCTTAGGGTATGGAGCTGTGGCCCGCGTAGGGGCTCAGGACAGTACAGTAAACCTGCTTCTTTTACATTCGCATGGTTGCCAAAGCCTCAGAGAGCTTGGGTTTGACGACACTGCACCCCAAAGGAGATGACAATCCCCCTTTTTTTGAACTTTTTTATTAATATATTTTTTGTTAAATTTCTTTGTATTTTTTTTTTCCTGCAAGACTTGGTGTTGGCGGCACTGTTGTATAACTTCAATCCCAAATTCCATGAAATAGAAATCAGAAGTAAAGGTTGAAAGGGGAGGAAGGAGGGAGGCAGGCCAGGAGTAAACAGTTTGACTACAAAAAAAGAGGGTGTGTGTGGTGGGCATTCCCGGGAAGGCCATTCCTTGAGGGAGGGGGGTGGCAGGCAGTTAGGCTCTGCCTCATGCAGGGGAGGGAGGAAAGATCCCCTGGGGGCCCTACAGTCCCCTCTTTCTAGGGCTTCCTGCCCCCAGGGGAAAAAGCTAGTACCAGGCTTCAGTCAGCAACTTCCCACAGGGCTCTCCAACCACCTTTCAACCACCTCCTGGGAAGTGTGGGAGATAGGGCTTCCTCTGATCCCATTCCGCAAGATTCTGATGTGATGGGGGAAGGGACAGAACCCTTTGGAGACTACTAGACTTGTCACAACTTCTGCTGCCCCGGGAGCTCCTGTTAGCTTGCCCGGTTCTATCCCCCCAGAAACGCCTCCCCCACTACAAATGCCAGAGTTGGGGAGCAGGGTCCTGGCTCAAATGCCTCCATCCCTCTGGAGTATAGTAGAAGTGTCTTCTTCAGGCCCCCCGTAGGAATTTAATCAAAGGCCACAAGTGAGTCCAGACCAACCAAATAAACTTTTAAGGGCCACAGAAGGGCGGAGGTCAGTGGCAAAGCCTGAGGGGGTGGGCTTGGCTGCACTGGATAGTTTTTATTCCTTGGCACGTTACTCTTGGCATGGCATGCCCTCACAGGGTTGGAAGAGGGGCTGGCTATAGAGGGAGATTCTAGGACGTTGTTCTATTGTTCCCTTCCTTTGGGTTCCTCCAGGAAGTATCAAGTTAGGCAAGAACCTAGCTGGGTGCTGGGAGGTTAGGTAATATTCTCCAGGGTAAGAGGCGGAGGCAGTATCTCCTCCAGCCTTTTCCCTTGGGCCAGGAAACCACAGGGGCTCAGCCAGCAGCTCGTCCAGCATTCAGTCACCCTGTCTCTATTTTCTTCCTCCTCTCCGTTCAGCTTCTAGGAGACTCCTCAGGACACCAAACCCCCACCCTCTCGAAGTTTAGGTTTAAAGAAAAGGTGGGGAGGGCACGGGGCAATGGTCTGACTTAGATTTGTGTGTCTCAGAGATGAGAGCATCTGAGAGAGAAAAGCCCTTCATATGTAAACAATCTAGAGTAGAAGGGGGTGAGGGAGAAAGAGACAGGTCCAGGGTCGATGAGATAATCTGAAAGAAGAGAGGGAAGGCAAAAGCAAGAGACAAAAACAAAGGGGGACAGAAGGGAAAGGAAAGATAGGTGAAAAAACAACCAGGATGGAGAAGAGAAGAAGGCAGGTCAAAGGGGTGAAGAGGCAGGCAACCAAAGCCAGAACTAGGCCAGGAAGTAGCCTCAGGTGAGGAGCTGGGAGAACAGGAACGCCAGGCTGAGGTCGAGGAGGGCCACAGCTCCCACCACCAGCGGGTTGGCAGCTCCCTAGAGAGACAGGGGGAAGCAGCCTCAGTCCCTGAGGACCAAATCCAGTGCTAGGTCCCGCCTCCGTCCCCGGCTTCAGTAGCAAAGCTGAAGGGTCCCAGACACCTCCCTGCAGAGAGCAGCTGGATCTCCAACCTTTGTTTTGTATTGCAAAACAACCCCCTTCTCCCAGGCAGTGCCCCACCTTTGCTCTGGCACTCTCAAGACAGGGCCAGCCCTTTCTCCCTCCTCCTTCCACTCCCCTCCCACCAGCATATCATGTGGCCCAGGCAGAAGGTGCCTGGCCTTAGTAGCAGACATTGGCAGCAGCAGCCAGTACTGCAGTAAGGCAGAGGGATGAAGGGGGTGAGGATGTGGTTGCTAGGAAACAGGAGATGGTCTGGAATCCAATCAGAGCAGAGGGTTTGGGGGAAACTCCACCTCTTCTGGTCTTCTGCCTTTTTTCCTATTTTCCTTCTTCCCAGGAGAGGGAGGGAGAGTGAGGGTAGGGAGGGAACAATTTTTTCCTTTTTTATTTCTGGGCACCAAAGAGAGAAAGTGCGGAGGTGGGGGTGGGGGTGGAGTAGGAAACTGGGAGCTGGAAATGATATGGAAGGAGAACAGGAAAATATGTTCTGGTTCTATCATTAATTCTTAGTCTGTAACTGTGCGGAAGTTACTTTAACTGCTGTGGGCCTCAGTTCCCCCATCTGTCAAATGAGGGAGCTGGACTTGAAGGTCTCTAAGGTTCCTTCCAGCTTTAAAGTTGTCTTTTTTTTTTTTTGAAGTGGGATATGGTCCAAGACCAGTCAGGCAGAGAGGAAGCCCCGTCGAAATCAAGCCCCTCAGGGGATCAGACAGAGGTCTGGAAAGGGTGGGACACCAGGTTTTGAAAGTGGGCGTAGGGGATGTCTCACCGGCTGGGCAGGGCTCTCTGTTGCAGGAGGCTCCTCAGATTCTTCCGTCAGGCACCCAGCATCCAGACCCCTTGGGGATGTGCCCCTCAGGACCGGAGTGGCAACAGGCTCGGGCTCTGAGCCCCCGGAAGCCCTCGGCTGGGGCAAGGGTTCTTCATCTTCCCCGTCCTCCTCTCGAAGACTTCCCGAACTGTCGCTGCAGCCTCCAAGGAGTGAGGAGCCATCTCTGGGCCCTGGCCCCTGCATCCCAGCCTCATCCTCAGCCTCATAGCCAGCTAGTTCCTCCGCCTGCTCACTGGGGCCCCCCCACTCCTCGGGCCAAGCTTTGGGGCTGGAGAAGGGACCCCAGTCCCCTCCAGGCGGCAGTGGGTTCCGGCAGGCAGGGGGTCGCCAGGGTTGGCGGGAGGAGGCAGGACTGCTGGGCAGTTCAGGGGAGCCCTCTGAGGGGGTCAGTCCATTCTCGTACACCCCAGGGCTGTCCTCATCCAAGGGCTCTGTGTCGGAACCTTCTGAGTCCTGCCTGGGTCTGCGGCCTGGGCAGGGACAGCTGAGCATCAGTGGGGCTTGCCTGGCTGAAGGCTGGAGAGGTTGCAGCCCCTAAGACAGTTCCCCAGGCTCCTAGCTTCTCAACACCAGACCTGAAACCCCATTATCCTGCTTCATAATTCCTAGTCCCACTCCCCAGATAACTGGGCTTGGCCCCCATCCTCTGTCGCCTTGGACTCTGTACCGTGTGTGGCTTTTCCCATCCTCAGACTTCCTGTGGTGCTTGCCATCCCCTTTCCAATCACCTGAGCCTCTCTGGCCCTCCAGGGGCTCACCCATTCCCTGGGCTGCCCACACCTCACCTGGAGCCTCCAGCATGGGTTGTAGGTCCTCGGCAATCAGTTTGGCCATCCGTGCTGCCTCCACAGCCTTATCAGCGATGCTGCTGGCTGCCACTGCCTTTAGTAGCGCGTCGGCTGCCCTGTTAGGTCCCAGGAGATAGGGACTTAGTGGACCTCCCCCGACTTCAACTGCTCAGACACTCCAGCTCCTCATCCGTGTCACCACCATATCACACCCTCCTGGACTTATCTGAGCTCACCTCTGGAGCCTCAACCTGCCTCATGTTCTGCCAGCCACTCCCCTTCCTGGCAGGCCAGGGAAGCTCACTTTCATTTCTTCTCCTGGATGGGCTGTTTGCTGCTATCACACCCTCCTGCTCCTCTCACACCCTCTACCCTACCCTTGTGTCCTGTAGTAACACTTCCTTCTTCCAGCGGTGGGGGCCAGGCCCTCTCCAAACTCTGTTATTCCATTGCTGTCCTGTTCCCTGCCCAGTGACAACTGAGTTTTCCCTCAGCACATCCTCTGCCATCCAGCTTGACACTTATAAGCTCTGCTGATTGCCCCCTTTGCCCTATTGTTACCAACCCCTCATACCCGCTGGGATCACATGCTTCCCTGCGGTGTCCAGGGCACTGTACCATGATCTTGCCTCCCTTACAGTTCCACCTCTCCCCTGCCCGCCTTCCTCTTGCCACTGCTAGCCTTCTTTATTATTGAATCCTACCTTTTCCAGGGCAGTTTTCCCGACATGAGAATGTCCCATTTTGCTTTTTCTTTGGCCTCTTCTGTTATCACAGCGTTCTCCCACTCTGTCACTGCCACTGTTCCCCTGCCCTGCCTTGTGCTTTTCTGAGGTTGAGAACTGGAATAAGGGTGGATTTCTCCTTTATACTACAACTGCATCCTCCTCTCTCTGCCAATATTTTCTCAATATTGCAGTTATACTTTCCGGGTAAGCTCTCAGTTTCCCTTCCACACCCCTGTTCCATCTTGTCCTGCTCCCTAGGTACAGGTCACCTCGAAGCATTATCAATCCTTGTTCCATTGTTGTTTCTCAGTTTTCCTGATGTAAGATGCTTCCTCAATTTTTCCTTCCTTTCCCCTCTCTGCCATTAGTTTCAAGTCCAACTCCTATTTATGGGAAGATTTCAAATAACCCTGTTCTTTTCTTTTTTTTTCCATTTAAAAAGGTAAAAGTTTATTCTAACCCTGTTCTTTGCTGTTTTAGGGTGTTCAGACTGCCTATGACTAACCCTGTCCTGAAACTGGGCTGGTGTTGGGGTTTGGGGCAGGGTATGAAATCACAGTTTTGGGTTTTACTGAATTCTCTTGGCAACCATGCCATGACAAGGGCCTGTTTTTTTCTTTTCTTTTTTTTTTGGTACCAGGGATTGAACTCAGGTCCTTGTGCTTGCAAGGCAGGTGGCAGAACCACTGAGCTAAATCCCTGGCCCTGGGCCTGTATTTTTGTGTCTGGAGGGCACGGATGATCAAGTCTAAGCAGTAGGCTTAGTCTATGCTCAGGCATCAAGGCCAAACTCAGGCTACCTGGCAGAGGCACCTGCTGCTGAGGCTATGCTGTTTCCATGGCACCCAGCAGCCAATTAGAATTGCCAGGCCTGTTGCTGGGGAGACCAACCAGCCTCTTCCCACAGCCTGATCCTCTAGTTAGTGAGATCAGTTTTTTCCTGCACATGCTTCCACCTTATCTGGCCCAAAATGTTCCCTATTGCTCTGCCCTCCCCCTTTCCTGGCTTA